GCAGCAGGCAGCAGGCAGCAGGCAGCAGCACCCGTGCTACAGCAGTACCACACATCGTACTTGCCCAACCGGACGCGCAGCTTACCTCTGGGTTATTAGCAGCCGGGTTGGTGGTGGCAGAAGAACGTGTCCTCAATCCCTCATGCGAACCCTGGATGGCGGCGATGACGGGGCAGGACATAACCCTGTCTGCCCCGCAACCCCCGCTTCCGCCGCCTTGTGGTATGCCGTTCTTCCGAGCTGCGTTTCGCTTGCCCGCCATGATGGCGTCAGCCTTTTCGCGGGCCAAGTTGGACAAAACCACTTCGCTAGCCTCGCAGTAGCCTGTGTTCTCCGCGGCTTTTCTGCCCTTCCTCTTGCTGTCCAACAAGGTGGTGCGAAGCTTGATTCCTCGTTCGTGTGGGGACCACTTGTGGATAACCTCGTATCTTGTTTGGCCAGCATACATGATGCGTGTACATTCGCCAGCGGCAGTCACCGCTGGGCCCTGGCCGCGCAGCATTTTCAAGCCCGCTTCCCACCACCACTTTTTGTCTGACCAACTTTCTGAGTGGCTCTACCCCCCCTAATTCGACCAAGCGGAATCGATTGGCGACGATTCCCGTGGCGAAAAAGTTCGGCAATGCGGCGAAAAAAAAAGTTCGGGCTGAAGGGGAACGTTTTTTTTTTGGGAACTTTTTTTAAACGTCGTTTTTGGGCGTTTGAGAACGATCTGCGAAGTCATTTTTTTTTTTTTTTTCTTCTCCGAGGTGGGAAAGGTGATTCATCTTTAGCTCGGAACCCGCCTGCGGCGATTTTCTCTGGCATTCGCTGACTACCTCTGTCTGTTTTTTCCCCTCTCAATCCCGCTCTAACTGCCGTATTTTTTTTCCCCGCGTTGTGCGCAGAAACGCGGAAAAGGGATAACCCAACACTGCCTGATGGCGAAACGGCGTGAGTGGGTTCCTTCTTCCATGGCCCGGTGTGGGCCTGCACGCGGGTCAAAACGGTGGTTGTGTCACGACGTTGGTTGTGGAAGCGCACCTTCTTGGTGGTTTCAAACGGCATTGCGATAGATGAACTACTGTAAGAGGCAAGGCTCGTGTAGGGTGGTGTTTTTGTGATTTTTTGCTTGGTGCGCGGCGAAACCGAATGGACCCAATGTGCCGTGAAAGAATGAACGAGATTTCAATGTTCTATAATAGTTTGTCGTTTAGGCCCCCTACCCCCCGGGATAGACGCACAATATTCTGAAGTGGGTGTGCATGTACGAAAGGTGGCATGCCATATCATCCCCTCAAGCGAAAGCTCCCTTCCATGAGAAGGCCCCCCGCCTCCCGAATACAATTCCAGGGGAGCACAAAACCTCGAGTTTTCCCGGAGGCGTTTGTTGTTGTTCCGTGGCCCTACCTTCGACTTCGTTCCGGGGCGATGCTTAAAAGAATATGCGAAGGAGCTCGCGGGGTGTTCAACGAAAATCCAGGCCGTTCATTCTGACATCACCTTGTTGTTGTTGTTGTTGTTGTTTTTGTTGTTGTTGTTGTTGTCGTCATCGCCGTGGTCGTTGTTGTTGTCGTTGTCGTTTGCTGTTGTCGTTGTCGTCGTCGTCGTCGTCGTCGTCGTCGTCGTCGTCGTCGTCGTCGTCGTCGTCGTTGTTGTTGTTGTTGTGTTGTCAAGATGGAGCTTTTTCCTTCAACAACGAGCAAACACCTGGATGCTCCTACCTGTGGACGCACGAGTTATACATGTACGAATGTTACAAGAATCTGCCGGTGTCAACCACCTAAACGCTGCCCGGTACCACAAGACTCACCAAGCATCAAGCAATAAGATTCCTTGCCCGTTGGTTCCGAAAACCGCTAGTTTTGAAATTTTCATTTGCAGGAAGCACAAGAGAGATGGCCGTAGAAAAACTAGAAACGGTTTTGAAAACAATGCTCTCTTCAGATCTTGACAAGTCCCGACATCACCGAGCAACGCCCAGGGGGGCTTGTCGCGGCGTTTTTATGTTTCCGCAACGATTGTCCCTTTTTTCCTTTGAAATTGCCTGTATCCCTTGGATTGGGGCATTGTCCCGAACCAGGTGGTCAATCTGTGGTAACTGCTTTTTTTTTAGAGTATTTATTGACCTGGGGTCCATCGTCTTTATCCCGGTTAGTTTTCTGTTTCGTTTGGTTGGGAAAATACAAATCGCGCCTCGGAGAACTCTTTCTGGGGTCCTTTCTTTTTGGGGAAATGGACAAAACTGGGTATACCCACGCCATTCAAAGTGGGTACTCGAAAATCCAGCCCGCGCGCACTCCATAGGCGACCCCCAAACGACTCAACCCCCATTCTGACACCTGGGCGACACATCCAGGGACCATACACAGCACGGGCATCGATTTTTTCCCACTTTCAGGCACACCTTTGGTCCTAACACCACCGCCGAGGCGTGCATGGCCTCACCAGAGTGCCCACTTCTGTCCGACATCGTGGTGGGTATACCCAGCGGCATCTATTAATACTACTCGAGTATTTTTTTCATGTACCCACTTGTGTCTGTATTTTGACCCACTAATATTGTTCAAATTGTACCCACTCTTGTCCACTTACGGACGGCGGAAATCGAGCGGAAATCGACCTCCACGTCACCGCACAGCAGTAGAACGTCGAATAGCCTCGGAACGTGTCAGAACCTCGCAACAACGTAATCATGGCACCTTTTCGAGTACCTACGTTTGTCCGAGAATGGCGTGGGTATACTCACTTTTGTCCATTTCCCTTTTTGTTGTTTTCCTAGAAAGGTGTGCCCCCTCTTTGTGGGTAGTTGACTTGTGACCACGGAAAGCGTCCGCGTCAGTTGGACCAGTGCGGACATTAGAAGGTACTGGGTGGAGACCGGATCGAATTTTAGTGTGAAGACAACAACAACAACACAACAACAACAACAAAGACTCCGCCCCCGGGGCGTTCTCAAGGGGCATTGCGCCCTTTGTCAGATTTTCTGTCTGGCAACGAGAAAGTTCCCCGTGGTTTAGGTATTCCGGCTTCGGCTGAGCTCAGTCTGTGGCTGTGTTGTTGCTATGCATGTGTCCTGGTGCCTTCTCAGGCTCTGCGCGACGCACTCAAAAGAACTTACGAAAGATGAGCCGTCGATGGCGCTCTCGGTATCACTTTCGCGGGGTACGTCAAAGGCTTGAAGGCTTGAACCACGATTATGTGGAAACTTCATGTGAAGGACACACGCGCCAGCCAATGCTACCGATTTGGCAAGTATGTAGTGGTGACACGTTCAAGTACCTGGCCCTTGCTTTCGGTGCAGCTTTTCGCCGCTGGCTTGACTTCCACAGGAACTCTGCCAAATAATGATGCCCAGATCCCTGCTCCGCCACCAACGTCGACCGTTCTACCCGCACATACACCCGTGTGGCCTAACGCCCGTGTCACCGAGCTGTATGGAGAACACTAGGCAAAGGGTGTAAAAGTCTTGCTCGTTGCCGAGACGAAGACAACAGCGCGTCCGTCCAAACCCAAACAACCCCCGTTCCTATCTACATGTCTTCCTCCAACTCCGAACGCACAAATAAAACGGATGGAGAGGCTAGGGGTAGGGGCTGGCCCAATGTCTGTGTGGGTCTGTGTGGTCTCTAATCATTCAAGTGACAGGACCCTCGGTGTCAAGAGGAATTGTCCACAGCGGATAGTGCATGGGACCCCAGACTACAAGCACTGCTACCGACCTGATGGTAGCTGCCTCTCGATCGGTACCGAGTTCGGTAGATGAGTCGGAACAGCGGTAGAAGTGAGCCTCGAAGGTGGCTTGTGACAAGGAGTGGAAGGTCTCCGGTCGTGGATACGGTATTCGCTTGTTGATTATTGCTAACTCAGGGCAAGCAAGGAGAAGAGTGAAGCAGGGGGGCTGAGCAATCCTAGCCTCAAGACGGGGCCCGGCAAACCGGACCTTACTGCTAGTACCTGTTGGGAACAACGCATTCTCCCAAAGGTGCAACTACTATCAACCGTAACCATGTAACCGTAACACAAACGCTTGCTCAATATCGAAATGACATAAGTCGAGGTTCAACTCGCACGCCAAAGCAGCCAACATCCTAACACACGAAACAGAATCGGTAGGCGCGTACAACTCTCCAAAGTCAATGTATTCTCTCTGCATATCACCTCTCGCTACAAGTCTCGACTTAACCTTAGTGGGCCATCCAAACTCATCTGCCTTCCAATCGAATACCCACTTAGCGTTAATTGCGTTCTCCACTAATTGCTACTTCGCCGGAGTAAAAGTCCCCGCTTCCAACAAGCCANCTCTCGGGCCTCCGCCCTCCCCAGCTCTCCGGCCTCCGCCCCCCCCAGCTCCTNGCTGGTCTCGCAGCGTGGCGTCGATGTCTTCCCGGTTGGCGAGGAGCGTGTCAAATGCGAGTGGAAAGCCCGCTCCTCCAGCCACCGGGTCCACAGCTGCGAGTGATCCCGCCTGCCCTCCGGTCCCCGCTCCCCCCGCCTCTCGGGCCTCCGCCCTCCCCAGCTCTCCGGCCTCCGCCCCCCCCAGCTCCTTGCGCTCCTCGTCCACCGCGCCCCGAGCCTCCAGCATCGACACCAGAGTATTCTTGTCTAGCATCGAGATGAGTCCTGTGCTGTGCCTTGTGCCCGATCTCATACGGCTTGGCAGCCGCGGGTCTGCCATACCCTCGGCCTTTGTACCCGGGCGAAGCTGCCGCATGGCGTAAGCCGTAAGCGGGGGCATCGCGGGGTCCGGCGGCGGCGGCGGCTGGTCTGGATCGGGGGTCGCCGACGGTGACGGCGGAGAGGCAGAGGACGGCTGGCCAGGAGCGGGGGTCGCCGACGGTGACGGCGAAGTGGCAGAGGGCGGTTGTGAAGGCGTGGGAGCGGGCGGCGGCGTGGTCGCTGGCGGCGGCGTTGCGGCAGGGGTCGAAGAGGCAGCGGGAGCGGGAGCGGGCGACGGCGTGGGCGCTGGCGGTGGCGGTGTGGCGGTCGAAGGCGTCGGTGCTGGGCCAAAGTTGATCGAGACGACCGGCGGCGTGAACGGGGGGGGTGTCGGCGCAGCGGTGATACCAGCGGAACCCCCCTCGCCGGCTGGCGCCGACGTCACCCACGACACGTTGTTGGTGTAGACGACGCGGCCGGTGGACGCCTTGAGGACCTTGACGGTGCCGCTCGGGTGGTTTTCGCCGCCGTTCAGGTAAGAGCAGAGGGTGGCCTGGTCGTCGAGCTTGGTGCGGCGATCCTCGCGCATGAAGCCGGGCTGGAAGAACGGCAGCACGCGGAACGGCCCCTGCTCGCCGGTGAACATCTCGTGCGGCGAGCGCCGCCCGGGGTTGGCCTTGGTCGCCGACTGGTTGAGAGCGTCGGCGGCCCACTTCGCCGATTCCATCCAAAGACGGTCACCGCGCTCGTCGAGGCCGGGGATGGAGGCGAAGTCGACGTTGAACACACGGCCAGCGCTGCGGCGAGCGGCCATGCCGGCCTTCATGATGCGCCAGATGGCGCTCTCGACGACGCCGTTGTACTGTGGAACGCCAGGAGGTGTGAACTCGACGCCGATGCCGTTGTCGTCGCAGAAGCGCCGGAAGTCGCCGCGGGTCCACTCGGTGCCGTTGTCGACGCGGAAACACTCGACGCGCCCGAGGTCGTACCGCCCCACGTCCGCCAGCAGCCTTTTCGTTGCCGCCAGCGCGTCGGACTTCCGCCGGAGACCGTACACCTTGTTCCACCGCGAGGCGCTGTCCACGGCGACGAACAGGTAGAGGTTGCCGCCCAGGGAAGGCACCAGCGGTCCACACAGGTCCAGGTGAACACGCCCGAGAGGCTTGGACGCCCGCGCTCCCGGCCCCCGCGGCACCGACCCTCGCCTGCCCTTCGCCTTCATGCAGTCCGTGCACGGTTCCAGCTTGCCGGTGAGCACGATGCCTCTCTGCTGGGCAGTTTCTCTCAAAAGAGGCTCGCAAGCGTGGGCAAGGGAGCGGTGGAAGCGGTTGATGTCAACGGACTTTTCAGTCGAACCAAGAGCAAACGGGGACGCACCAGGGCCAAGCGCGGCCGCACCCAAGTCAAAATCAGCACCCCCATCAATGCTATCCAAAACACCAGCCACATTCGCAGCGTCACTCTCTGGGATAAATACGGGGAAAAAATCTTGATATGGGGTGTCATCATAGCCATCCATGAGCTGCTCGTCGGTGAGCACACTCGTATCTCCAAGATCCATACCCGGAAAAGTACCCACACACACAAACTCGGACGCCGAGGAAGGTACTACGTCGGCAGAGCCGGCGGGCGGGACGCTCTCACTCGCAGGTACTACACTGGTTGGACCAGTGGGCGGGACGCTCTCACTCGAAGGTACTACGGTAGCAGAGCCTGCGGAAGGAACACGCAATACGGACACCAATGATTCCGCGGAGCCCCCTTTTTGGGAAGGGGAACGCGTGGAGCCAACGGCGGGGGCGGAATCGGGGGCAGTCACGAATGCAGGCAAAGCAGCAGGGTCTACAATAGTCGCAGATGGGTCGTACGGCAACCGGATGGCATACGCTGCAGACGCTTTATCCTCTCTAGCAAAGAGCAGTCCATTTTGGAGGGTTGCACCACGTTTGTCGTAGAGGATTTGTTGCTTCAGAGAAACAGCATGCGTTGAGAACAAGTTGAAACTCAGGCTCTCTACAACAGACACGTCAGTGAGCTTCACACACATCGTCGTTTGCTCACCATTCTCATCCACCTGAAAGAAACTAAGATTAATGCTACCGATGGCTTGCACTTCTAGCAGTCGACCATCACCTACAACGACATATTTCCTACTGGCGGGGATCTCTTGCAGGTCATACATGTGTAGGCTGCTGTTGGTGAAACTGTTACTGGCTCCTGAGTCAGCTACCCATCTCTCGCTACCAGGCGGCCCCTCACTAGATTTCACACTCAGCAAAGACGAAGCACTCGAAGCAGACTCTACTCCTATCGTCACTCCTATCCTACTGAAAAAATCGTCAGGGTGAGACTTGCCTAGGGGCACCGATTGTGCCGTGCAGAGGTGGAGGTAGCCCGAAGATGGAGGCGCGCCAGGAGAAGGAGTAGAGGACGAGGAGGAAGCGGTGCTGCTGCTGCTCGCGGGGGGGGGCTGACGTTGCTGCTCGGATGACGAATCTTCGCCGGCAGGAGGGTAGTAGACGTAGTGGATGCCGCCGTCAGATGAACGGCTGTCTTCGTACCCTGAGGGGTAGCTGTAGCTGTCCCCACCGCCGGCGTAGTGGGCGTACCCGGCGTCGTGGTAGCCGTCTTCGTAGTAGTAGCCGTCGTCGTAGTCGCCGTAGTCTTCGTAGTAGCCACCATCATCGTGGGCGTAGTACACAACGTACGCCTGCTCTCTTCCGTGGCCAGAACGCGCGTGCCCCGGGCCTCTCTCTGCCCGTTCTCTCTCGGCACGCCCGTCGCTGCTGTGGCGTCCCGCGGGCCCACGACCCCCCGGGTGACGCCCCAGACGACCACCAGGCCCACGTCCACGAAGAGGTCTCGGGGGGGGTGAGGCTTGGCTCCAGCCACCGCCACCATGACCGGTGTGGTGCTGCTGCCCTTCTATCCTCACCCATCGCCCGCCACCGCGGCCGGGCCCCGGCGGCGGTCTACCTCCTCGCTGGCTACCGCCGCCACCGCGGCTGCCACCGCCCGAGCGGCGTTCCTCGGCGCCCTCTCTCGAACGCGCGCGCCGCAGTTGCTGCTGGAGACGACACTGCTCGTTGGTGTGAAGCTCGGACTGGTGGTAGCGGCAAAATCCGCCGGGGTCGTCGTTGAACACGTCACTATTTTTCTTCTCTCCGTCACGATTTTGGCCGCCAGCTGCTGCCTGACCGCCGTCTTGACCCCCGGATGCCCCCCCACTTCCCCCGCCGCGCCGGCCCATGCCGGACGCGGCGAGAGCGAGCTCCACCTCGCGCCTCTCCCCCTTGCTCCTCTCGCGCTCCATCTCCACGTGGGCGTCCCTCACCACAGTCTCAAGGGTACGCAACGTCAGGACATCATGGGCAAGCAGTATTCCTTTTTGCACGGCATACAACGAAGAGGGAAGGCCACGAGCAACGTCTTTGTTGGCATCTGTTTCATCCTTAATTGTGCCTACAGATGCAAGACCAGGGCGAAGGGCCTCTGAGCGGGCAATGTAATCCTGTGGACTCTCGGACTCTCTCATCTCTAACTCCTTCCAGTCCTGCTCCAACCTCGACTTTTCTGACTGCTTTTTCTCCTGATAGAATTCTGTCACGATTTCCAGCCCTTTTAGGGACTCTCACACGCCAGAATCAAGCTCTGAATCGGGGGATACAAAACCTTGCTAATCAGGATATTCCACAGTTTGAATGACTTGTCTCCCACTTCATTCCCAAAAAGTCTCCGAAGGTCTCCTATATTCACACCCCTCTTTCCAACCTTGACCTCGACCTCCAGTTCCAACGCATCATGCACACCCTCCTCCTGAAAATATGAAATCATCTTACTACGAAAAATATCAAACATAATATACAAATCCTGCTCATTCTTCACGCTACCAAGCCAAGGTTCTATTTCTGAGCCAGGATTGACATGTAGCGTGCCTGAGCGGGCAAAGCCCTGTTGTACAGCGATGGCCTCAGCTGTCGCCTTGGCCGCTTGCGCCACGATGTGTGCGACGCTGCTGGGGTCGTTGAAGGTAGCTGTTTTACCCTGGCTGGAGGGTGATGGCTGGTTGCCGGTAGGTGGGACTGGGTTGCCGGCTGATGGTGGTTGGACGTAGGTGACTTCACCCTCGTTGATCCTGTTGGCTTCAAGTTCGGCTTGTACTCGTTGCTGGACGATCTCCTCCACTTTTTGCTGTAGCTCTTCCCCGCTAAGGGCGGAGAGGTCGATGCCCTCCATGATTTATGTTGTTGTGGGAGTCTACCGATTGCGCGTGACTGCACAACCCCCGGAAGGCTACGCCCGCGCGCAGATACCGTGATATCGTCGCACAAGTGTGAAAGGTAAACTACGCGGGGTGCAGCAAGCACGTTCTGGACGTTGCTTTGGGGCACTGGGTAGTCGGCCGTGATAGGCCGAGAGAGAGGGGTTGACAGAGAGTTGGAGAGTGGGAGAAGGAAACTTGATTGGAGAGAGACGGTGGTGGAGGTGCAGAGAGAGGGAAGAAGAAGTAGAAGTGCGAGTGCGCACGCAAGCAAGCCTTCCTCATCATCGCACCGACCACGCCCAAAGGGTCCCCGTGACTGCGCCCGTGGTACCCGTCAACACACGAACTTCCCAACACGTGTCCCCCTGGGATCCTCACGACCAGATACTGCTGCGAGTATATCTAACACGTGACATGGCAGGGAGTAGCCGCGAAGAGGGTCCAATTCCCCGTGCGCTTAGACTATAGACTAGTCTAGTCTGGTATGTCTGAGCGTCACCGTCCACCGTGCCTGAGGACAAACGCTTGACCTCACATTGGATCCTTTCGCGCTCGGTCATTTGTACGTCGGTCTTTCCCGAGTGCGGAGGTCGAATGACATGATGATGATATTTGGCTACCCAGGACAGAATAAATCGTGATGGGCACGCACCGTCAACAACGTTGTTTTTCAAGTCGTTGCTACCTATAGAGCACCCCTTGACCACGTCATATTTCGTGGGGAATACCGTACTTGCGTTCATGTCGAGGACACGTGGCAAAGCTCACCGTCTCTCACGTCTTGTTTTTTATAGTGGGTTGGCTTGCATGGCAAGGATTGGCACGTTGGATTATTTCGCGCACGGTCATCATTTTTGGTCGACCCTTTCCCGAGGGCGTAGGTCGGTCGTACGATTATTTGACCAGGACTCAATTACTCGTGATGAGTCGACAACGTGACCAACGTCGTCTTCCTTCAACTCGCTGCTACCTACTAGTATCGAGCACGCGCCTGGACCACGTCATAAATCGTGGGGGGATACTCTGTACCCGCGTTCATGTCGAACGTAGCAAAGCTCACCATCGTGTGTCTTCGTGTTGTTTTCTATATTGGTTTTGGTTGCATGGCAACGAACGGATGGCATGCTGGATCCTTTAGTTTAAACGTCGGCGATACCGAGTGCGTAGGTCAAATGGGATGGTTGCTTTGACTACATAGGACAGAATCAATCGTGATGGGTAGGACACGGTTGTTAGAAATACAGCATATCCACTGAGCTGTATCTAACAAAATTACAACCAGGGTTCGAATCCCTCTGAGAGCCGTCTTGACGCCTTTTTTCAGGAAGAAAGAGAAAAAAGGCTGGGATACACACCTGAACGTCATGGTACACATCACCAGTCGTCAACGGTGAAGACACATATCCTCGCCTGTAAGCCGATGAACCGCTTGGGGCAGCGCTGATTACAGGGATTACAACCCTGGCAGTAGAAGTGAGGGCCGACAAAATAGCCTTGTCTTATCGGACTTGGAATACCGACGCTGGCGGCCCGGATCAAACATGCTGCGCTGGGATGGCAACATGAAAATACAACCCTACAGGAAATGGAGGTGGGGATATTTTCTTTGCAAAGGCTCCCAACTATTCAACGTTTGTCGAGGACGATTTCCTCCTTTCAGATACATGCAAGCACTGCTGTGTATCATCTGCCGGCTGACACGCGTGACCAATACAGCTGGATTGCGCCGGCCATAGACCGCACCAGCACCTGCACCCGACAAACCTACATATACCGTCGTGGTGTTGGGGCATCCAAATGAACGGACGTTTTCCGCACGGTGTCATGTGCCATACCGTCCGAACGCCGGCCTGCCCTCCGGCCTGCTCCCCATGATCAACAGGTAGGCGATCAACGTTTTGGCAAAAGTTCGTGTGTTTCATCGGCTCCTGGGACTGCTCCATACAGGACCCATCGACTCCCCTGAACACGGCCATTCTTTCAGGAAGTACAAGCCTGGAAACTTCAACGTCAACGTTGGCCTGTTTCGCTTCCTCGGGGTTGGAGTGCTCCGTAGCGCCCAGCAGCGAATAAAACATCGTGCGAGCGGCCTGATAAACATTCTTTGTCTCCCGAAAGCCCTCCCTGGACGTCGTTGGAGGCTGTGTGGGAAAAGTAAGCCGGGTAGACTATGTGTACCTAGAAGTGCCCATAGTCTTGGGTTTTACTTCAAACAAGGACGATCGACGGCGACGCCACGCGATCGACGAAGGCGGCCCAAGGCTGCCCGATCGACCGACCGACCGACCGACCCAACCCAACCCTACCTTCCCAAACCTATCCAACCCTTTACTTCAAAGATGGAGATTGCCGCTTTGCAAACCACCGTCCGAATGAGGGAACGGTAATCTATACACAGGTGGTTCTTGCCGAGGTATGCTACCATGATGCGGCTGCTGTACTGTAGGCTGCTGTACAATACAGTAACACTCGACAAAGCAAGTTTCTTTTGATCCAACCAACTCGCTCTATATATAGCAGTACATAAGACAATGCATACACCACACAAGGTTGGTGGAAACAGGGCCCGTTTGAGTCACGCGTCTGCGCAGAAAAGCTCTCGACAGGAGCCCGCGAGCGTGAAAACCAACCTTGAACACCGAACACAGAAGAATGCGGCAACTTATCTCCTCCCTAGTATACAATCTTAGCTTCGGCGATATATCGCAACATTTCTTTCGCTCAGCGACTGCAGCATGTTATTGTTGTGCGGCAGCTAGCTGTAGAGGGGCGCGCCTGCTACACTGCTACAAAAAAAAAAACTGCTGTCGATACTGCTGCTGCTGCAGGTCAACGGAACACAGCATCCCTGCCGCGATACAATTACCGTGGAATCGCCACGCTACAGCCCATGATCGCCCCCATTCTCGACAGGAAAAAATGCCGCCCATACGTTGAGTACCCTCTGTGAGTGGAATGGCTCCAACAGAGCGACAGATCCCCTTCACAGGACGCGTGATTCTGTGTCATGTACAGTGGGTGGCCCGATATAGTGCCGGTTGAATAGTGCCGGTTGCCGGTATAGTGCCGGTGTTTTCGGCTCGCACACACCGGAATATCAAGTCTTTCTGTACTGTGAATAGTGCCGGTGCCCGGTATAGTGCCGCTTTGCTCTCTGAACACATACCGGCACTATAGAGGGCCCCCTACTGTATGGATGATGGGGGTTGTTGTTGTTGTTGTTGTCTTCACATTAAAAGCCATCCCGGTCTCTCTATCCAGTACCTCCTTCTGCCTCAATCTCTCCGTACTAATCCAGCACTTGACTCGGTCAATTTCCGTGGTCACAGGCCAACGTACCTAGAAAAGGTATACCAAAATAAAATGGACCCCAAGGGTTAGCAGAGCGATAAAATACAAGAAGACAAAGAATCAGAAACAAATAAATAAATAAATAGTGGAACGTGCGCACCACCAGCCCGGGGGGTAGCCTTCCGGGAGGACCCCAAGGGTCAACAGTACGGGTGCAACTTGGAAAATAAATGTCGAACTCCGCCATTTTTTCATCCTCCGCAGCAGGAAGGATGTGGCTCGTGCTAGGCGTGCATCAACCTGGATGCTCGCACCTCTTCCTAAAGGCACTCGCTCAACGGCCTTGTTCCGCGCTGTTGGAACTGAAGCCCCTCTTGCACGTCCTGGTCAGAATGCGCGACACACGTGGACGGGTGAAACAAACAATATCTTTGCTCGATGCTTTCGAATTTGGTATATTAATTTGCACCCCCTTTGCTCGCCAGGGGGGGGGGAGAAGAGTAGGAACCGGGGCCACACGAATCACGCGTACCGGTCCCCACATCCACCATCAGTATGCAACACCAGCCACCCAACAGACATAGAGAGAAAACTCTGTCTGCCCCCAAGAAACACGGCTTGTGTTTCATACTGATCCTCTCCCCCCCCCTCTTACAGCCAAGCCCACAATATACCATACGCGGCCGCTTACCCGCGCACATTATATACTCAGACAGGACAAGCCGCCCGCGCTCTCCTCACTTCAAAACCTTCCTGACTACAAGCGGCTATCCTTCCGCTTCTCACATTATTCACACGGGAAGGGCAGGCAGGCCGCGCTCGTCTGGCTTTGAAACCCTTTCTGAAACGATAAGCGGTATACAACGCATCGATATTCCATCAAAAATACAAGCGGGCCGCACCCTTCTCACTTCAGAACCGTCCTGAAGCCAAGCGGCATTCTGCTTCCGTTTCTCACATACATCATTTAACTAGAAAGAACAAGCAGGCCGCACTGTTCTCACTTCAAAACCTTCCTGAAGGCCAGCGGTACCAAACGCATCGATATACCCTTCAGAAATTACCAGCAGGCCACACTCTTCGCTCGCTTCAAACCCTGAACCGGCGGTTACAACACATTGATTCCTCCAACCGAATATAAATACATCCTCATGCAACACCCCATCGAGTTCCTTGCCCTGGCTGCTTACTACCAGCAGCATCTTGCAACACCTGCGACACCCACCTAGCATCAGACCCTACATTGCGCATGTAACATTGGTAACTACTCTCGCCGGCCCACCGCCCCTCTCGGCGAAGAGTCTCCGGCGTAGCTCCTGCTGCCGCCAAGAAAGTCGCGCCCCCAATACGAAGGGAATGCAGCGCGTATTCCGCGGGCTGAAGACCACCCAACGCGACCACTTGGCGCAGGGCGACAGTCGCCTGATGCTTGGTCCACATGGCCCACCTGGTGCCACCGACGCCAAAGGCAACTAGGGGGGCAGTAGGAGGCAGGAACGGGTGAAGGGAGAGGAGTTCGATCATAACATCAACAGCTCCCCCCCCGTGAGACACTGGGCGATACGGACCCTCCCGAACCCTGGTGCACACCGCACCTTTGCGAAACTGGTCACCCTTGGACGATCTGAAACGAACTTCAACACGGTCCGACAACGCCCAACTCTCGGGAACGAACAACTGCTCGTCCCCCCGGAAAAATGCGACGTCTCCTCGCCGCAACCCATGCTCCGCATGCATGGCCAACTTGGACACGGCGAACATTTCCGACGCGCGAGTCAAAAAGAAAAAGGACACACTTAGCGCCAGAAACAACACACGACCTCCCACTCCCCATTGAGGCACCAAACGAGACCCTTGTTGCAGCAACGCCCACGACACCGGCCGGCGCAATCGCTGCTACGAACCCCCACCGGCGTGTCCTCTCGCCGCTCCTTTCAGTGCACACCGGATAAACGGGTGCTGTGTCGGAAGCTCTCCTGCGCCACGCAACCGATGGTAAAACTTGACAGCGGACAAATAACCGGCAATGGTTGAGTGCTGCAACCCCAACACAGAAAACGCGTATGCCACGAAGTCAACTAACTGGCCAATAACAGCACCCGCATCCTCCTCGCGGGAAATAAACACCGGTTGATCCACGACGTCGACGCGAAACTTCACCCAGCCTCCAAAAAGGCCCAGGTAAGTGCGTTCAGACGTTGCCGCAAGTGACTGAAGCACGAGGCTGACGCCAGCACGGCGGAGCACATCTCTTGCCCCGACAGGTCCAACTCCACCCTCTGCCAACGAACGTGGGGAGCAGCAGCGCAGAGGTTGTCATGTACATCAGGGGAATTCCACCGTGAGATACCATCGGCGACCGAGTTCAACACACCAGGCACATGCGAGGATTGAAAAAACCAACCAGTAGACACTTCGACAGCGCCCAACATGCGCATAAGTGCACCGGACCGAGGCTCCTTGCCTCCACGGCATCGGTTAATCCACGCCACGCTGGACTCGTTGTCACCCCTCAACTGAATACAGGCTCCTGATTCGGACGGTTCATGGCGCGGCTGAACGATCAGCGTCCACGCACCCACGACCATGCCCAACAGTTCAAGCACGTTAATGCTAATATCATCTGCGCCGTTCACGGACTTGCTAGACCCCACAAACCGAGATTGCTCATTGGGCATCAGCTCACGTCGGAAATAACATCCGGTTTCTAAACAGTATCCACCAATGGCGGTTTTAGACGCGTCCGTGAACACAGCCATCTGCGGGGGGCGTGGTGCGATACTATACATCGGGGAACACAAGAAACCCCCCCGCAAAGCGAGACCCCGCGCGACGAACCACCGCCAGAACTCCAATTCATCATGGAACATAGGTCCCAAAACGACACGTCGGGCGGGATCGGAAACACGCGAAGGGAAAACGTCGGACTGTGGCATCCCGACAGCTGCGAGCAAACGCCCGACAAAAAATTGACCCGGACGCAGGGCAAATGAAACGTGGAGAAGAAAACCGGTCAACTCCGACACCTGGCGAGTTGTTGCACACAGTCGCGTGGAGGGCCATTCGCCCAACACCCGCTCTAACTTCTGCTGTTTGTGTGGAGGCATGGTGACGGAAAGCTGTTGTGTATCAAGGATCCATCCCAACACTTCCAAGCGCGTCGAAAAATCGGTGATTTTCTCTCGAGATAGCAGCGGGGGATCATTTGGCCCCCGAGACCCCAGCAATCGGAAATGGTCGGACGCGATCGATTGCACAGCACGTATACAACGGCGACCATCTTCGAAAAACTTCGCTTCCACCAACACTCCATCGTCAACGTAATATCTGATGAAGAAGGGGGACCCAGCGAAACCACCGTCCAAAACAATCGTAGCGCAATCACGCGGTACAGGAACAGCGGGGCTTTGAGGCGGGCGGATTTTAACGTGATTGACCGCCTCCCCGCCAACAGGCGACACCGAAGCTGTTTGGAAGGTGGTATGAGTGTGTGAGTGCTCGAGAGCAGACGAAAACAGCGACCAGAAACCGGGGCTAGACCGCCATCCAAACTGGCATCTCAGGTCCACGACGACAAGGTCCCCCATAGTATATCCAAACACCGCCGCGCGCGACGGGTCGACCAATACCTGCCGAAAGGCCTCACGGACGTCGATTCGGCACAACAAAATCTCCAACTGCACGCCATGCAGTTGTCGCAGAAAAACAATGCGGGACAGAATGTCAAATAACACATGCCCCAACAGACACTCGGGCGCTCGGTCGAAATCGGTGTCAGCATTAACACTCGACCGAGTCCGGGTCCCGGCTTCGAACGTGAGATCATGAATTATGCGGAATTTCGGCTCCTCCACCACTCCGAGGGGGGACACACGCAAATCCAAAATCTCCCGTATAAAGCGGATGTCAAACACCAGTGCTCGACCCAACCGCACGTCTGACACAATCTTATCAGTGATTTGCTCTGTGTATGGTAGCGTGCTAGAGTGGTTGCCATATGCCACTTCATCTTCCAAACACCCGCCCACCGCCACGTCGACGGGGGCTCCCGGGCACAAAGCCCGGAGTAATGGTTCGATGAGCGGAAATTTTTTGTCAACACCGAAGTGGGAACGCACACAGTCCACGTCCACATGCGGCGAGAAAAACTGGGTGCCGCCAACGGCCACAAGCGCATCTACGCGCCCACCACACCGCCTCAACAGGGCGGAACCGGCCTCCGCAACCATGCGTAGGCCCACTTCTTTTTGAGATGATGAAACCGCATCATTCAAGGCAGATACACACGATCGCCAAACTTGAAGTTCATCAGAACCCACAATCGCATGTACTTCACCTGGTGACAACAAAGAGACAGACGCAGAAGCACACATCTCCCGCTCGCCAACTACGCCCTCCGCGGCAAGCGCAGCACGCCCCCGCTCGCGCAAACCGGGCCCAACTGTCTTTTTCGCCTCCCCACTCAGCACTGGAGTTGGCCCTGCCACACGGCAGAGCCCGTGTCCTCAGGTGCTGCCATCACGCACCCCGAGAGCGGAAGAGGTGCCGCTCCCCGTACGACCGCCTCCGCCAGACCCTCCCCCGGTGCCGCTGGCTCCCCCGCCTCCATCGCTGCGTCCACTCGCGCCTGCGCGTCCCCGACGCGCTCCGGCGTCGCCTCCGTCCGCAGCACCGTGATCATGGCGGTATCGGCAAGAATCACCAAACCTGCACGAGCCTTTGTCCCGATACTTGAAGCAAACTTGTCTACGGCGCTTGCCGCCGCCGTCGGCCGGCGCACTCGCGCGCCGCTTGGTACCAGCCACGGGCGCTCCGCCGCCGCTACGCGCAGCAAACATGCGGATGAGATGACTCCCGGAAGTAGCGAAACTAGCAATGCCAGTGAAGGCAGGCACAGGCGGCGGAGGGAATTGGTCGAAATTTGCCGGCGCTGTCGATAAGTGCTGCAGCGGAAGCATCCACGTCATAATTTCGTTGGACCATTGCCGGAAGTCTTCGTTGGGAATGCCGGCGAGGATGTCGCGCGAAGCTTGACCAGAAAAAGCGCCGTGGTGGCGCAGAAGCTGCATGCGCAAATTGATTTGGGCTTCCTGCATGGCCGTCTCCAACGGCTGCAACCGCTCCAGGGCCGCGGCCTGCTCGGGCACACTAGGCGCAAGGCCAAACTTTAAAACGCGCAAAATCGCCGCACACGTCATGTCAAAATGATCCGCGACCGACATTTCCCCGCGTTCACTGTCGGGGAAAAACTCGAGGACATTAAATCCTGACATATATCGCAACTGGTGCCACACCTTGTCCGTGCACTCCACGAAGCCGGCCATGACGGTCTTGAGTGTCTCCTTGGATTGGAGGTCGAAACCCCGCAAGCTACGGAGAGTCCACACGGTACGACCGGAACGCCACGCGGATGCATTGCTCTCAAAGTCTGCTTTGGCAGCGCGCCGTTCCCGGTCCGCAGCAGAGCCCGGTGATGCAGCCGCGCCCGCGTCCAAACCGCTTCCAGGCGCCACAACCGGTCCCCCAGCCTGAGCGGCGCCTTGTTGCCGTGCGTCCACCAACTGCTGTAAGGTGGCACTGATGACGGACAGCTGGCCCGCGAGGTTGTCGTTGTCCTGCTGCAGGGCCGCAATTTGCTCCGCGATGGGCACCGAATTCTCCGACGGGCTGCCGCCGGAGCCTGACGCACCCGCAGCCCCACCAGCGGCGCCAGCTCCATCAGCGGCGCCACCGTCCACGCCAGCCCCCCCGCCATTAACGCTAAGCCCCGCCAAACCGGCGGTCAACCCGACGGGATCGGTACTCACCACCGGCGCCTGCTGTGGCGGTTGAAGTTGCTGCTGCTGCTGCTGCTGCTGCTGCTGCTGCTGCTGTTGCTGCTGCTGTTGCTGCTGCTGCTGTTGCTGCTGCTGCTGTTGCCGCTGCTGCCGTAGGTGCTGCTCCCGCAGCTGAGCCGCCAACGACGCGGCGGCCTCCGACACGATGGACGACGTAGGCCCTCCCCATCCGGAAGCGAGGTCGACCGTCTCCGATGCAGCTCCGATTCCTGTCACCGGATCATCCTCGGGGAATTCGTCGTTTCCGCGAGCTGGCCCTTTGCCGTGAGACATGATAAAGCAAAGTCCGAAACTCAGGAACCCAGCTCGGAAGATTCAGGAACACAACCCGGAAGACGTAGGAACACAACCCGGAAGACACCCGTCGGCCCCACACGTGTACTCGCTCGTACCACTGCTGTCCACAACAGAGCGAGTGACAGAACTTCGAGGGCAACCACAACAACACTAGCCCTTCTCTCGCTCTCTGATTGGCCAACGGGTTTATTCTTCCGCCTCTCTCAAAACTCAGATTTCCTCACTACAAAGGTTATGACTCTTTTATTCTAAAGGTTAGAATAAAAGAGTCATAACCTTTGATTCAATCTTCCGCATCCATGAGGGGCTCCGCGTGTGCATTTCACATACCCCTCTCTCCTTCACGAGCCCCCGCGGAGAAGCCGCCCTGCCTGCCTGTGTTTCACACGCACACACCATAGGGACGGACGTGGAGATGCGTTTGCTAGGAGGACCCAAGCTCCAGCGTGATCAGAGCCATGCATCAACGTGGGACTGGTCGGAGAATGGTTGGGATGAAGAGGTGATCCTTGGGTTCTAGAGACGTGCAATACTGCTGTAGCAAAACATCTCGCTGTGTCCGTTCTGCCGAAAGGTCCAAAGACTAGCACTTCTACTACCTGGTACTTGGTAACGGAAGGCTAGATTCTCCCTCCTTGCCTCGTTCTTGGTTGCGCTGGTATTATGTTAGCCTGCCCCCCCCCGAAAAGGCCCCACTCTGTCTTGTGTTGGGAATAGGCCGCAGCAGGGGTGGGACTTTTGAAGGGGGTATGGCAACATCGCGGTGTATTCTCGCGAGCAGTAGCAGTGGAGACTGCTGCTGTAACGGGGTACAGGTATGGAAATGGAGGTAAGTGCCGAGAGAGATCGTCGCCGTGCTGTGCGGCTCTTGTCCTTGGTGTGGCGGTGTGTGTAGATGAGACGGAGTGGCAGCGTTATTCACGCACAGCAACCGGTAACAACATCACTGATTCAGCACGCCGACGCCCATGCTCACGCCGTACAAAAACAGAGTTTCTTGAGGTCTGAGTTACTCGTGTGCATTATTCTCGCCGGCAGCATGTGCGTCTATTAATGTCCTTCCTTGCGTGCTCGATGCCGACACAAACCGACGCCCACGTGGGCGGTGCCTGGTGTAGAGCTCGAGACTGTTTCCGCGAGAGATAGACGACACGACACCCCCCCCCTGCTGGCTCAGGCGCTGTTGTTTCGCAGCTTCCGCGTGTTGAAAAACTTACACTTGCTTACAGTGGAGCTGGAGTCGTTGCTGACCACCTGCACTCATGAAAAACGTAAAAAGTTTCGAAGGTTACCCTCTCGCGCAGGTTTGTAGCTACAGCAGTAGTCGATTGGTACCGTAGCGGTAGAAAAATCGGCTGCAGTGCAACTGGGGGCCGATGATAGCCGTGTGGCGGCCCGGGTCAAACACGCTGCACAAGGGATGGCAAAATGAAGATATATATGCGTACCATGAAGTGGACGTTGGGATCGTAACAATGGCTCCCAACTACTCGACGTTTGTCGAGGACGATTTTCTTCTTCTTTCAGACACACGCTTGTACAAGCACTGCTGTGTCGCATCTTATCTGTTAACACGTGTGACCAATACAGCTGGATGGTGCCGGTCATAGGCCGCACCAGGACCTGCACCTGACAACCCTGCATATCACCGTCGGGGTGCTGCTTTGAGGGGGCATCGAAATGACTTGGCGTTTCCGCACGGTGTCATAACCGTGCGAGATCATGACTCGCAGCGTCGAAAGGTTCCGAGGATACATGGAAGTACAAGTACTGTTGGAGGCGGAGAGGAGGTGACCGGTGACTGCAGCCCCGAAAATCTAGACTCGTCTGTATGTGGTTGAAGATGCACTGGCCGGTCTCAGTTTGAAAATGTTGACCACGGGTTGCGAGCCACACACAAGCGCGTGCCTGACCCCGATGGAGTTAAGCCTCTGACGCTGGCCGGTTAGCCCCGTTTTCGGGGCAGCATCCCGTTCAAGGTCGGCGAGTAGTTCCATCCCCCCTCGGTTTCGTCGTCCCCCATCCCGTTCTCCTGTGGTGCCTCCTTGTTGCCTCTCAACTGCTGACGGAGTTTTTTTGCGGCGTCGTGGAAGGCAAGGCCCCTTTCGCAGACCAGACCGATCCTCCCCGGGTCCCCGTCGTACGTCTTGCACACGATCGCCAGGTCCTGTAGGAAGACACGCAGTGAGTGCGGCATCGAGGTCCTCACGGGAGGTCTGCCAAAGTGTGGTCGACCCCGCTCTTGTACCACTGTGCTTGCGGCTGCGATACGAAACGTGCTGCGAGAAGACCCAACATATGAAACATGGATGGCGGTTACAGCGGCAGCAACACGAGCAGTGCACTCGGAGTCTGCATGCATGTCTCACGCATACAATAAGTGCTGCTGCTGTGGACTTCCACATGCATAAGTTCATCGAGATCGCTTCAGCCAAGTTGACTTCCTCCGGTCTGCCCTCCGGTACGCTCCCCATGACCAACAGGTAGACGGTCAGAATCTTGTAGAAGTCGGTGTGCTTCATCGCCTTCTAGGGATGCCCCACACAGGATCCATCGACTTCCTTGAACACGGCCCATTATTTCAGGAAATTCATGGCCTTGAAGGCTTCCGCGTTGGCCTGGCTGGCTTCCTCCGCGTTGGAGTGCTCGGTAGCGCCCAGCCGCGAATACACCATGGAACGAGCGTCCTGGTGCCATGCCTTGTCTGCCCAGACAAGGAGTGGTACCAGGACACTCGTTCCATGATTTATTCGCTGCTGAACTCTACGGAGCACTCCAACGCGGCAACAAACAAGCGAACCTTGAAGTGTTCCAGGCCATATATTTCCTGAAAGAATGGGCCGTGTTCAGGGAAGTCGATGGATCCGGTGTGGGGCAGCCCACAACGCCCATGAAGCACACCGACTTGTACCATATGCTGACGGCATACCTGTTTTTGGTTCGGCCCTTTGGGTCCTCTTCACAAAGCGAGAGTTCTGGTGTGGAAACCCCGGAACAGCTTGTGAAGAGAACTGTCACTTGGACGATGTTTGTGTGCTGGCGTTCAAGCGCGACTCGGCAGCTTGGCAGGCTCCAATTTGACATGTACATGGGAGGACCCGTGTGTACATTTGACATTCCCCGTTCTCCTTTACGAACCCCCCGCGGAAGAGGCCGCCCTGGCTGTTTCAAACTCACACGCATGGGGACGGACGTGGAGATGGGTCTGCTAGGAGGACCCAAGCTCCAGCGCGAGGGGAGCAATGTATCAACATGGGACTGGTCAGAGAGTGGTTGGGATGGAGAGGTAATCCTCGGGTTGTGGAGACATGCAATGCTGCTGTCACAAACATCTCTCGGTGTTCTTCTGCGCAAATGCAATCCTAAAAGATTTGTATTAGAAGGTTGTCGCTCCCTGCCTCGCTTTTGGTTGCCCTGGTGTTGTGCTAGTCTGCCCACCCCCCGAAAAGGCCCCACTCTGTATTGTGTGGGAATGGACCACAATAGGGGTGAGAGGTTTGAAGGGGGTATGGCAACGTCGCGGTGTACTCTCGCGAACAGTTGCGGTGGAGACTACTGTTGTAGCGGCGTACAGGTGATGGAAATGGAGACAGTGCCAAGAGATTTAGTCCCCGTGCTGCGGTTGTTACCCATCCAGTGGTGTGGTGTTGATAGGGCGGAGTGGCAACATTATTCGCGCCCAGCAAACGGCAAAAGCATCACTGATTTCTGCACGCTGACGCCCGTGCTCACGCCGTACAGCAGAGTTCCATGGGGCCTGAGCTACTGCACACTCGTGTGCATGATTCTGGCCGGATGCATTTGGGTCGGTTGCCCTTCCTTTCCTTCTCGATGCCGACACAAACCAATGCCGACGTGGGCGGTGCAAGTACCTGTTTCAGAGCTCGAGATTTTTCCACAAGAGATAGGCGACACGATACCTCCCCCTGCTGGCTCTGGCGCTGTTGTTTCGCAACTTCAGCGTGCTAGACTTACACTGGCGAGTAGTGGAGCTGGAGTCGTTGCTGACCAGCTGCACCTAACCTAAAAGCTCTTCCTCTCCGTGCATGTAGTAGCTAGATGGGCAAAGGGCAGATGGGGCTGTATGTTTTGTCGCAGGAGTTGCTCACAAAGAGCCAGCGCGGCGGAGCTATCTCACCTCTACAAAACGGGGACGATGTCTCTTCTCTGCTAGTAGCACCCGTGGGTGGAAGTTGAGGGGGGAACATCTCGTTCCATCGAAGGGGTGTACCGTGGGTGCTCGCCGTACTGTACATTGCTGTACACCCTATTTTGCGCGGCAACGGTCTTGGGCCCTCGTCTCTCGCACGGGCGCGTGGTCTCGCGAAGAAAATGTGGTGCGGTACTACTCCACCTTCCTTCACCTTTATCGCGAGACGATCAGGTAGAAGTACATTTTTTCCACCGGAATCGACGAAATCGAATTCGTTATTTCCTCGCGAACAAGCTCTCTTCTGCAATGAAGGTCGCGCCACGATCTGAACGAACGACTGTGCGACCTTTGATCACCCAAGGATGTCGGCTATGCCTTCGGGTCATGGGGGGCGTGGCGGCGCCTGAGGGTCGGGCTGGTTGAATCTCCGATCGACTTTACCGCTTGGGTGGCACTTTGTCTACCTCATCGTTGCCTAGTAGGATCTGTGGTGTGATGGTTCCCCGCGCATAGAGTTTTCTGTGTGCGTCCCGAACGACACCTCCTCTGTCAGTCTGTCTATACTTCTTGCCAGTGAGCATGTAGCATGTTCGTTGACGTCCTCATTCACCTTGCGGCCAGTGCGAGAAACCGTAACTCACATGGCGTGCTTCGATCAACGTGGCCGCGCAGGCAAATTCGGGCTACGAGGAGGAATCGCGGACGCTCCCTCAGCAGCAGCGGAAGCAGGAGAAGCAGCAGGGTAGACGAATGAGCCGAACGCGACCACTGTCCCAGGCGATGAACCCTCATCGCGAAGAGCTGCTCATGCCGGAAGAACAGCAGTGGCGACAGCAGCACCACCGGCAGCGGACCAGGCAAGACGACGAGGAGCAAGGAGACAATGACTCCCCCCCTGTCAAGGGCAGCAGCAGTGGCGGCGGCGGCGGAAGCAGCAGCGGCAGCAACAACAACCTAAGTAACGGAGGGGGAAGCGGCAGCGGCAGCGGCAGCAGCAGCAGCAGTAGGCGGTGGAGAAGGTGGGCGTCATCGGAAACGCTGTGCGGCTGCAACAACGAGGAGAGCAGGGCTAGGAAGAAGAGGCAGCAGCAGCAGCAACTGCAGCAGCAGCGCCGGAGTAACATGAGCAGGTGATGATGAATAACCGATTGACGTTCCGGTTGCGCCGCTTTCAGGCCCTCCCGGTGGGCTTTGCTAGGAGAGGCCGTCGTTCGCTACAGAGCTTGTTGGTACACCTAATCAAATATATTCCAGGCGAGGCTTGTGCGGTGAGAGGTCTGGCACGGAAGTGGTGTTTGCGGCATCCATCAAGATACCCATGCTGCCGTCTTCTTTCATATTTTGTGCTCCAGCTTGAGAGTGATTGGACGATGCTAGTCGCCAAGCGTGTTTTATCCCCAAATACATGAAACCGTTGCCGCCGACATATCTCTATCTCGTACTGACGAGGTTACGTCGCCCAAACGGCTTGAGACGCTAAATGGGGAACAAACAGGACTTCCGGCGTGAATGGGAGGAGTTTTTGCCATTGTCTTGTAGCGCTTTTTGGGCATCAGTTGTTTGTCGGAACGATGATAGCACCATCTGTGGGAAGCTCTCTGGCAACGATGTTTTTCGAGTGGCCCACGACAGAAACAGACGAGACTAGTCGCACAGCTATCTTGCATGTAGGTCGCGCTATAGCGGCCAACCGCGGCGGATTGCGAATATCCTAACCCTACACGAAACGAGCACGACAGCGGCAGTGCGGCTGCGGCTGCCGTGGTGTAGTTTCCAGGCTTCGAAAGAACCGCGGTCGGTGGTCTTGGCGACAGGACCACCGACGACTAGCTGAAAACCTTCACGCGTGCCTGTACGTTGTGTTCCCGGTAGGCCCTGGTCCGATACCTTTGCGCTGAAAGCTTTTAGCGTGCGGCGCAGCAGTGGATGCACTAAACTGCACTCTACCCCCTCCCCCCACCCCTCACCTATTAACTTTTCCCGACCTTCACCCCCAGCAGCCAAGCAGAAGGGCAGCAGCGACAGTCGCCGCTTACTCTGTCGGTCGGCGTGGGCGTGAGCGGGGCACCCCGGGTCCTGCAGTCCCCGAGAAGGCTCCTCTGCGGCAGAAGGAGTTCCAATCACAACAACAGCGGCGTTGGCGGCGGCGGCGGCAGTGCGGCGGGCGGGTGGCGGGGAACCATGCGGGAGATGCGGGGCTTCCTGCTGTGGATGGCGGTGATCCTGGCGCACATGGTCCAGGTCCCCATGCTTTGGTTCGTCTTCTGGCAGGTGACAGACACGGCGGGCGGGCGTTGGAAGGAGGAGGGACCCGTGTGTTTTGGTGGTAGGGTGCGAGGTGTTCGTGGTAGCTCGGGGTGCGCTTTCCACGACCGTTTTGCTTTTCTTTGGTCCAGCGAGACTAGCGTTGTCGCGGATACGCCACAAGTACACTTGCCTTTTTTTTCTTGAGTGGCGTGGTGCGGACCGGAAGGTTTCGGGACTCTGTAGCTATGGCAGCTTTATTTGATTTCAAGACCGTGAAAACGGTGAGGCTGTCAGCAGTCAGTCAGGGGTTGGTGTACGGGGACCGTTTCTGAACCGAGGTTGTGGATTGACCTACAGTAGGGGGCCCTCTATAGTGCCGGTATGTGTTCAGAGAGCAAAGCGGCACTATACCGGGCACCGGCACTATTCAGAGTACAAAAAGACTTGATATTCCGATGTGTGCGAGCCGAAAACACCGGCACTATACCGGCAACCGGCACTATTCAACCGGCACTATACCGGGCACCGGCACTATTCAGAGTACAAAAAGACTTGATATTCCGATGTGTGCGAGCCGAAAACACCGGCACTATACCGGCAACCGGCACTATTCAACCGGCACTATACCGGGCAACCCACTGTACTGCTGTCGAGGAGAAAGTGGATCCCAACGATCATGTTCGTTGTGCTCTCTTCAAGTCCGGGTCGTCGGTCTCTGTGATTTTAGCGGTCGGTGGTGTGTGTGCCTGGTGCATCTGTCAGCAAGTACAACGGCAGTGTTTTGTTTGGTGGCCGAGCGTCCGAAGGTGGAGATTGACTTCATTGGAAGAATTGCGAGCGATGCGCGAGGCAAGTTCAAAACGACGCGTGAGACAATTGTTCATTACCGTATATTTCTCAATGGTTCTGTCGCAGCTTCTCCCAGCGTGTGTGTCTCCCTTCCTGTCTGTCTGCGGTTTTCAATCAGCACCGACCGCTCTATCCGGCTGACCATTGAAAAGACGAAAGACGTCCGTCTCTGAGCGGGGTAAACATAGTTGTGCGTCTGTGTGTGTGTTTTGTGCGATTCCGACAAGAAAAGAAACCACCAACCTCTCCGGCCCAGCAACACGATGATTCCCCCCCCCGAGCACTCTATATACATACAACACATATTCGAGATCACGTTATGGGAGAGCACGGACCTCGGCTTGCGTAGAACTGCGCGCTGTAGTGTGTGCGCGCCTTTCCCGGTTATAAAAGGTTTTGACGTCGACCCCGTGTCTGAAGCACCATCAAACGTAGTGAATACAGTAGAGGTCTCTGTTTAGTGCCGAGGTGTGCGCAAAAATTTCAGCGGCACTATACCGGGTACCGGCACTATTCAAAGTACAGAACGACTTGATATTCCAGTGTGTGCGAGCCGAAAACACCGGCACTATACCGGCAACCGGCACTAAACAGGGACCTCTACTGTACGACGAAGTACCACCACCACCACCACCCCACCCCCCCTACGGCATGCATTAAAATGAGTCCAGCCCCCCCCCATTCCCCGCTCTCTATATTCCGCCCGCTTGCCATTACAGTACGTGTGTCCCCACGTCGGGAACGCGGACCCTGACCGACGGGTGGGGAAGACGGCGCTGCCGCTGTGGCTGCTGTGGGTTCTGGGCTTCCAGCACATACGAAGGTGGTTCTTTTTTTTCTTCGTCGTGCCGTAGTGCTGTATCCAGCACATTCGAAGTTGGTTCTTTTTCTTTTTTTTTTTCGTCGTGCCGTACTGCTGTATCGTGCGATCGATCTTGTGTTCCGGTAGCCGGGTGCTCCGTTTCGAAGGCACCACCAGCAAGCGAGTGCATCGCCTTTCGTCGCGCTCGTGTCGTCTCGGCACAGGGGTACGCTATTGGTTTACGTGGGCGTGAACAGGCGCTCCTTGTGTTGCTCTCTTGTCTGATCTCGAACTGAAAGCTTAGTGCATGTCTTGGTGTGTGTGTGACGTATGCATGTTATGGAGTTGCCTTTGAAGACGACTACACTAGGCGGGAGTGGCAGCTACATCTGAACAAATCGGGCAGGTAGGTACGTTGCATCTGTGGGAGCGTTGGCGTGGTCGAACCAGCGACAGGGTAGATTGCGTTGCTGTTTGTAACTGTCTAATCTTGTCTCTCTCTCCCCCTTGTGCACATGGTGTTGCGACAAGCAGGCATATTCTGGGCATGCTGCAACCGCCGCTAGCGAGGGTCATGCTCAACGGGGAGATCTTCATCAGCGTGAGCGTGCTGGTGAGTTGCGACACACCACCGGGGAGAGGGGAGATTGGCGCTCTTCCCTTTGTTGTCCAGGTGGTATTGTATTGTCATGTTTCGCCGCTGGTCAATTTCGAGCTACAGTGCTCTCAGCTATGTACACACGGCAGAACCATCGGTCGGTCTGGTCTCTTTACCCAAGTGTCGTCTGTCTGCAACGCTCGCCTCTCGTTGGTTCTTTGTTCAGCTCGTAGTGCTGCCTGCGAAGCGACCGTAGTCAACAACATTGGCTGCCTTCCTATTCTGGTACCCGCGAGGGTAGTCACAACATTTTTCCGATCCGTGCGGCGAAAGTCTGGGCTGCGGGCCACGACGACAACCCCCCTCCCACTTCTGCTCCGTCCTCTCGAGGATGCGCGGTCAATTGTCTACCCGCTACGGCATGAGTACGCCCCCCCCCCTCCTGCTACGCACACATCCAACCTTGCCTCGGCTTGCGCGCGCGCGCGCACGGTTTGCTTCTGGCAGATGACGATATGCGCGAACTTCAGCACCATGGTACACCAACCCAGACTCCCTCTATTCGACGTCGGGTTCTACCTCGTTCCGGCACAGGTGCGTTCGTCACTCATGCATACATGCCTACCCCCCCCCCCCCCCCCCCCCCCCCCCCCCCCCCCCCCCCCCCCCCCCCCCC